CAAACGTATGTAAACAAAGGAAGGAACTTTGAGGTGCTTAGATCCTATGATAATAGATGAAGCTATACTTGACCTGCATAGTGGTATCAAACCAAGCCTAAAAGACAGCCTAAAACAATGGCTTGAAGCAGTTCCTACTCATTTGAAACAGAAGTTAACTTTGAAGCTGAATGAGAATGTTGCCAACAGTGTTCGTTATTTCACTGCCAAGGAAAAGGTGAATGATCACATGAGGACAATGTATTCGTCATGCTTCCTCATTTTGCAATGGGATCAAAACAAACTACATTTTTGGAATCTGCATAAAAGTTATCTGAAGATGATCTTCCACTTGGTATCTGAAGGTGGGATTAACTCTACCAAATCTTAGATGCCTAGAGTTCTCGTACCTACATCTAAGTTATTCATCTGGTCTCCTTTAATATCACTTATCTCATCATAAATGTTAATGTTTAAAGTAAATTCCTATGAATTGTCCCCTGGAATTTCCTTTTCCCTCCTACAAACAGTGCGTAGATGACCAGCTCTGATCAGATGCTCACAGTGTAGCTCGTTAGGAGGCAGAACAAAGGACTTCAATGCTGAAAGACTTCAATCAAATACACCACTTTGTGCAACTGGAGATTTGTAGGTGGCAGAGAGCTTTTATGGGTTAATCGCTACTACTTTCTTTCACTTAACTACCTTCAATAAACAGCAGCTCTAACTGTCCCAGATAACAGCCTGCCAGGTCCCATCGCTGAAGGAAAAAACTAAAACCAAAGTTAATTTCAGATGAGTTATGTCTCAGGTCCCTGAGACCTGAAACAGAACGTATGTTTTAGGTGAACTCAGAAAAGAAAATAGTAAGTCTGGAACTGTTGTTTTAAATGAACGTAAGGGTGAGAATCAGAACCACTGCTTACTCTCAGCTTCACTAATTAGATATTAGGCTGTTCTTTCCATCTCTATTTGTACTCTTTTTCTTTAGAAATGATGAAAACCGAAAACACTCTTGCTTTTTGTGAAGTAGGAGGGAACCTATATTTTGACAAATAATAGCCCTTTAGGAAACTCTTACTGCAGATATTATCAAATGCTAAAACAATGGCTTGACCCTCCCAGTGCTCCCCACAGAACACAAGTCTCTTCTTTGTATCTTTGAACATGTGACTGACTTACTTGCACGGTGAGATGCAATCCCTGTGCTCCACACTGCTCAGCAGGAGCCCAGTCTGAAACATCAGTAGAACATCCTGTCTGGCTGAGAGATGCATAAACACTACTCACTGAACTGGATTTAATCTGATGTTGATCTTCACACAGTTGGTGATAGCGTGTGTTTTTGTGTTTTAATGGCCATCCTGTTTATCTCATCTTTCTGACTTAAGGCCAAATCCTTCTGTTGAATAGGTGCATTATAAATACTAGCTGAAAATTAAACGACTGGATGGCTTAATGATTAAGCGTATGCATTACTCTAAGTGGCTGCAGAATTCTGCGTTATCCTCTCCATACAGTGCAGAATTTCTTGGTTTTGCACCTATTGTTCCTCCTGTTGAAGATTTGTGATAAAGGTTGAGCATTTTTGATGGACACAATAAGCATTTTACTAAAGGCCTATTTTTTCCTGAATGCATAGGCATACACTTTTCATTGAGTGCAGTACGAATTCTAAACTACTCAAGAGAAGAAGAAAAAATAAAACTCTGAATACGTACTCTTCAGACTTGGCATTCTGTCCTCTTTGCCTTTGCAGAATACTATGTAAGTCTAAAATTTTCTACAGATGAAATGATTTATGGAAAAAGCTGTCCTGACATGTCACTAACAGCACGCTTGAATTATATTGGCAATAATTTTATCTTTTTACGTATTTGGTAATTGAAACATGTACTACAGGTGAGAACTGCTGAAGAACTGGTCTATTTTCAATAGTTTGTGATACAGGGAGTGAATATTTACTAGGTTGTTGTCTGGAGTTTCAGGTAGAGTTGCAGAAGGCGCTACTGACAGCCCAGAAAGGACAGGGTAAATTCCTACCTGAAATGGGCATTTGCTATATTGATTCAAAATTAGGCATAGCCTGAGCACCACCATAGCAAGTGAATGACAATCAGCAAGAATGAATCAACAGGGACAAAACCAAGATGCTTCTCACATCTTAGTTCAAAATCTTTATTTGTCAGCTGATTCAGTCTCTGCTGATTTATTTTTTCACTTTTGTTTCTGCTTTACTGTTATTTCTATTATTGTTTTTCTTTCTCACGAGCAACTGTCTTTCTTGTGATCATGCAGAGCACAAATAACAGAGCCATAAAAAATTGGCCTGACTTTCAGGAATATCTTCAATATCGGATATATATTATCTATAATATCAGGTATTTAATATACCAGGTGTATGTTTTTTCTTTCAACTAGTCTTTTTCTTAAAAAAGCAAACAAACAAGCAGCAAAAACCCCCAACTCTTTGATTAAAATATTCGAAGACCAATATTTTTATTGTGAATTATTTGGGATAAAAATGTATGGATATCGAACTGTGGTTAAAATTGCTCATGTTCTGTTTGCAAAGCACATTTTCTATAGAAGGTGGAGATCGAAAATTATCTAACCTGGAAGAGTGACTCCTTATTGTTCTTGAGAACTATGAGGGAAATAGCTCAGATCTCTAGAGACCTTTCTCAAAAGGGAAGAGACTTAGCTTTTGACAGGAGCACAGTGTGCCGAAGAGAAAGTGGTACTAAATTTCCCTAGATGTCTACTTAAGACTTCTAGCAAGCTCCCTTAAAGGAAAGCCCCACCTACCCTAATGTTTGATAACATAAACCATGTTGTTCTGACAGTATAAATAGCTCAATAAGATAGAGAATACTGGAGGAACATACAAATTGACTACATCCGTCAGGTTTATAAAAATCATATGCATCAGAGAGACAGCGTTTGTGAGTCTCCATTCCCAACAGTGTGAGGAGAAAGGGAAAACAGTCAATTCATACTAACTCAGGGAAAAACAACACTTACGAACTGTAAAATAGAATCCATTATGAAAATGTCCTGAAGCAGAAGTTGCACATAATATGTTCACAATGGTTTTAAAAAAAAATCACATCCTTTACTTTTAAAAAGCTGGAGGAGTAATTGACAGTGTTTATGGGAAAACAGGGAAATGAAACAGTAACACATAAGTACTATATTGAAAAACACAGGGAGAAATAATTAGTCTTATGTTTTGCTGAGCACCATCCAAAACAGAAAAAAAAACCACACGGTTCTTGCTACGAGCACATTTGTCCATATACCATAGAGGTCACAGCCCCCCGTTCACAAAGGGGGCTGAAGTGATCTGAAGAGTCTACGTAACAGAAATATATGTAAGTGCTTGTAGAACCATGACCTGTCTGATCAGCCACACTAAGTCTCAGTCTTGGATTTTGCCCTTGTTTATTTCTATGCAACTGAAAAGTTTAATTAGGTTAATCATTGTTGGCAAGCGTACTGAAGATCGAATCTGGTTCCAAAAAGGGTTTGATCTGTCTGAACTATTCAAACAGTTACCTGGTGCTGGGTGAAGCCAAACTTACTGTAAGAAAGCTCAGCAAGATTTGGAGAACAGCCTTGGGACAGAGGTACCGGAGGATGCTGGGTGTTAGCTTCTGCTTGTTAAATTGTTTGGGATATATTTGGGGCTTTTCACAGAGAATAAAACTTGATCCCTGGGGGAACGCGTTTTTCACCAGTTGCCCAAAAGTCCTCTTTGCTTTGACAATTCTTATGCATTTTATACAGCTGTACTAAGTTTTTGTTACGGGCTTTTAGTTTTTCTGTATTCTGCTGCTCTTGTATATGTACGTACCATTTCTTTGTGCTTGACCTGGATGGCCATGTCAAAAAGACAAACCACAGGGTCATAGAGTGGATTGGGTTGGAAGGGACTTTAAAGATCATACAATTCCAACTTTCCTGCTGTGGGCAGGGCTGCCACCCCCCACCTCAGCTGCCCAGGGCCCCATCCAACCTGGTTTCGAGCACCTCCAGGGATGGGGCACCCACAGCTTCTCTGGGCAACAGAGGGAGTGTGCAGCAAGATCTGTGCCTCTATAAAACGTGGATCATTAGGATCATAACTGTATTTTTAACTATTTTTAAATTAGCTTCTTTTAAAGCAATTCGGAGGACACAGAGTACGCAGGCTTAGGAATTCAAAGGCCAATTAATTCCAAAAGCCAGTCATTCGTAAAGAAGACACCTACTCGGCGTGTGTTATGACTTGGGCTTTCGTTACATCGTTACATCATCGTGTGGCTCACTTTCTTCAGCTCCCGCTTTCCACGTGGAGAGCGGCCGAGGAATTTGCGCAAAACAAGGCACGGTCTGTGAAGCCGAGCTGTATTTTGGAACGAGGTTTGTTTCCATCGTGGTCACGGGCTTGTAGGAGGGAGTAGGACACCGAGAGACAAAACAGAGAAACAGCAAAGGTGGGATTATTACTTTCCCCTCAGCGCACGGGAAGGGTGAGGGCGGCGGGACACCGCCGGGTGGAACTGCCCATTCCCGCGAGGAGCCAGCCAGGCTCGGGAGCGCGGCCAGGGGCTTGTTTACTCCCCGTCCCGCTCCGTCCCCACCCGTTCCCCAGCAGCGGCGCGGCGGGGCCGTCAGCGGCCTCGCGTCCACCTCCAGAGGGGCGGCGGCACCGGCGCTCGTCGCCGCCGCTGACACGGCGCGGCACCGCCCCACCCCTTGCGCTAGGGGGGCGGGGAGGGGGGGACACAAGGGAAGGGAGGCCACGCTCCCCGCCCTCAGCCAATGGGAGCGGGGGATGCCTCCTCGCGCCGCTGACGCCCCCGCGGGAGCCCCCCTTTTAAAATAAAGCGGCGGCCGCGGGGCGGGAAGGGCAGCGCTGAGGAGGAAGGGGTGCGCGCGCGCGAGCACAGAAGCGCCGCGGGTATGCGCGCAGCTCCCGCGGGCAGCGGCTGAGGCGGGCGGGGGGCTGCCGGGAGAACGGAGCGGCGCGGCTGAGGATGGCGCCGGCGAGCGAGCGGCCGCCGCCGCGGGACGACGGGGGTCCCGCGGCCGCCTCCGGCCCTCCGATGGAAGCGCGGCGGGAGAACGGCGGAGAGCGGTGCGCGGGAGACGAGAGCGCGGCCGTACCGCGGGCGGCGGCCGGGGGCGACGCGGCCGAGCCCCCCGAGGGCGGCTGGGGCTGGGTGGTGATGTTGGCCGCCATGTGGTGCAACGGCGCCGTCTTCGGCATCCAGAACTCGTGCGGGGTCCTCTTCGTCTCCATGCTGCAGCTCTTCGGCGGCGGGCAGGACAAGCAGATGGCCTTTAAAACAGGTGAGGGGCTGAGGGGCCGCTCCCGGCCGAGGCGGCGTGCCCGGGGCTGCGAGCATAGGGCTGGGGCCGGGCTCTCGGCGCCCGAGGTGGAGCTGCGGGAGAGGAGCAGGTGCGCTCCGCGGCGGTATTTTTAGCTGTCTGGCACCGCGTGTCGTGGGGAAATAAAGGAGTGAATGGTGCTTACGAAGCTCAGTGCGAATAGCAGCACGCTCAAATCTCCCCTCTGCCGGTACTGATCTTAGTCGTTCTCGCCGCGTGTGTATGCGCGAAGTCAAAGGCAGCTGTGTATTGCACACGTGTTCTTCTTGGAAAGTGTTTTGTGCTTTGTGCAAGCTGAGGACAGGAGGGTTTTGGCTCTCCAATTTTAGCGAGTGGGTAATTATGACAGCTTTAATGACAAATAACCATGAGGTTGGCTTATTTAGAACATAACATAAAACATTAAAAAAAAAAAAGAAAAGCAACACTAAAAAACATTTGTTGTTTTATCTGTTTCTTGCTTAAAAAGTACAGCAGTTACCCAGCCCTGCAGAAGGGTAAGCCTTCCAGGAAACTTCTGCAGCTCGGGGAGCTTTTAAATGCACTTTGAAAACTCTTTGTCAGTATCAAACTGACAAAGATCAACTGGGCCTAATGTTGAGAAGTAAGAGGAAAAACAAAGCTAATTCACCTCCAAATCCCCGTCTCAGTAACAGTGTTTCCAAGGCAAGTGTTCTGACTGAACTGAGTGAGAATGCTGCTGTGGAGCTATGTGTGGCACTCTCGTGTTTAAACTTTGTGATCATGGGTAAGCTCTGAAGTTCTTCAGCTGGAAGTATGAAGTGCTGCTGATGTCCAGCGTGAGGCACTTGATGTCCAAATGTATTTCAGAGAAGGGAAACAGATACTTGGAGCCAGATGCCTGAGCTGCACAGAACTGCATGAGGAGTAAACAGGGTTGTGCAGAGGAGGTTGTGGGAACGCTTGCAGGATGAGCTGAAAGCCACTCGTTGGAAATGAGGAATCACACAGGTGTCTGCTATTCTGTCTGTTTGTGGAACAGAGATATAGGTTTGGTTGTTTTCTGAGGGTCTGGTTCTCTAGTAACCCAGGATAGGATTCTTTTGCTTAAAAATGTGACTGTTTTGATAATGGTGTAGTCAAAATAGTCAACGAGAGGAGGCTTGGAGTAATCTTCTACTTCCAGATGGCTAAATGCACCACTGGTCTTAAAGTGAGATGAGATTGGGAGTGTTCTCCACCCATATTTTTGAAACTTTGCTCAGCTTCAGAAAATTGTAGAGGGAGACGAAGGGGAAAAAAAAGGGACCTAGCTGTGTAGCTATGTTCTTTTGCAGCCTGCTTTGGAAAGGAGGATAAGTTCTGAGACTGGGGAGATGCAGACACCACGCCCTGTATTAATTCTTTCTTCATTTTATTTAAGAAATAAAAGTTATAGCTGATGTTTATTTGTGATCTGATGTAGTATGGTTTGGGTGATGCTGAAGGTACTCTTTTTGTTGTTGTTGTGCTTTAGGTTTAGGTCCAGGGGAAATAGCATCAAACAGCTGCCTTGACTAGATGATCTATGTGCGTGTGATAGAGAGGGGCTGCAAATACAGAAGTGTCTCCTTTAAACAGCACAACTGCAGCTGAAAGGGTGCTCTTTCTTTTAATATCTGAAAGCACCCTAAATCTCCTGAAGAACTAAGCAGCAGCTGTCATACAGGGCTTTTTGTTCCTTAATTCTTCATTGTCTGCTGTTTGTGATCTTGTCTGAAATAAGAGCAAGACTCAAACAACTGAAATCATGATGTGGTATCAGAAATGGCAGAATGCATTTAGTGTAGTTCTCATTGAACACTGATGGATTAGCTGACATGCTGTAGGGAGGGAAAAGGATGACTAATGGATAAAGTCAGTGTGACTTCAGTGTTAGAGGAAAACCCTAGTCCCATAGTATTGATCATGGCACATAATCTGGTCAGTCTCTTGTTCAAACTAACTGCCACTTAAAACTGGCAGTGGCAGGTAAACATTTAATGAATCTGAGAACAGTGAAAATTTCCTTGCTGTATGTTTTTTTTTCTTTGGAATATAAAGCTTAATATTCTAATTATTCTAAGAGGAGGGGGGAAAAAAAATGTTAAAAAATTTTTAAAATCTTAATTTTTTTTTTTTTTTTTTTTTTTTTTTTTTTGGGAGGCATGAATGTTCCAGATAATCAGTCCTGGGACTCAGGTGTTTGTGGAATCTGTTAATTTAACCATAGCAGTGCAGAATTAAACTTTTCTTCTCATTACAGATTTACTTAGATGTTGCCAGAAACATAGGTGTCACTTAAGTTTTTTGTATGAGATCAGCCAGTGGTTGTACATTGCTTCATGCTTTCCTTGCAGAGAGGAGTTGACTAGACTATAGTGCATGGTGTATGTTTGTTATTTCTTTAAGGGATGGATATTTGTGTGTGAAAGGCAAAACAGGGGAAGGCAGAAGGGAGGAGGGTGTAGCCAAGAAGCTGTTCTGCCTGGTAGATAAGGAGTCAGAGGAGCCAAATCTGCAGGTGGGGCAGCCGGCCTATCTCTAGAGTGCAGGATGGACACTGGCTAAATGGGATGAGTAACTACGACTACCAACGTTACTGCATTTGGAATGGTTGTTGAAAGAGCTCCTGTTGTGTAGAGCCCACAGACTTAGGGGACCAACTGATTCCAACTCCTGTTTTGATCAAAATCTTTGAATGTAATTTGTATACAGTATTAATTGTATTACTTATAGGCTAGGAAACCAAGAGCTTTTATAATGCACTGCTGGTTTCCTTAGTTTCTTAGTTTCTTAGTTTCAAAGCTAATTGATGCACAACTACAGAAGAGAGGTGTTCCTAATGCTAAGTGTAAAACTTAGGGAAAAATGTGCCCATACATTGCTCATTGTGCTTGAGAAACAAGTTGGGTGGAAAAACACAATGGCAATGAAAGGCATGTCTTGATAATCCCGTAGGCCCTTACTTTTTCTTGTCTTAGAAATTGATGTCAGAACAAGGTTTACATTTAAAAATTTGGTGTGTAGGATACTTGAGGATGGTCTAACCAATAAAAGTGAAGTGATCTGCAGACATCTCTTCATTGGCTCAGTGCAATGAATAGACTATGTGGACATCAGAACAGCTTATTTAGTTTAGTCATTGACAGTACTTTCTTTTTGTTGAACCTCCAGTTCTGTGGTATGGAACACTTAAACTCATGTTGAACTTTGTCATTTCTTCATTTCAGATTTGTGGTCTGTCCTTCATACTTGAGTAAAAGAAGTACATTTACACCTCCTAACTATAACATATCATGCAGTACAGCATAAGGGTTTTGCTTGCAGATGTTTGTGTCCATTTCCAGTGGAGTTTTTCAGTGGAGTTACGAGTTAGTAGCTGATTTAGGACTTTAAACAGGGGATGTCCTTTTATTTTTGTGATCCTGGTCTAGTGGGATGTGTCCCTGCCTGTATCAGCAGGGTTGGAACTAGATGATCTTAAAGGCCAACCCAAGCCATTCTATGATTCCATCATCTTTAGAAGTAGGAATTTAATTTCATGTATGTGGCTTTTGTAGAAGCCTAAAGGTGACTGGCTTCTGTAACAACTCTGCACATTAAATCTTTCTGGAAAGATTGCCTGCTGTACCATCTTTCCTGCATCTACATTAATCTAGTTACATGCATTGAAGTAAATAATGGAATTTTAAGCTATTTTAACCTCATGTTCAATTTCGGTTTACAGGAACTTTTAAACATTTCTCTTATTTTTTTTTTTATTTGTAAGATAAATTAGTGTTAAAACTATTTTTTTTTTCAGTGTTATCCTTGGTAATGTTTGTACCAAGCACTCTGATTTCTAATCCAAATAAGAAGCAGCAGAGTATGGCTAGGTAGAGGGGGAGGGGGGAAATCTGGACAAAAAATCCATCTTAATTTGATATCTAAGTAGCAGAGGGATTTCTTTCTCATCTTAATTTTGAGCACACCTTATCTAAATGGTTTGCTGGTCTGTCATCTGACAGCTTAGTTTTAGATGAAGTTATTTATGCCTGGTGTGTGTTTTCACATAGGTCTCCCAATGTCTTTTCCTTGGATAAACCTTCCAACTCTTTCATGTGAAATACTTCTTTTCATGCTATTAGTTACTGTTCCTTCTTTGGCATTGTTCAGTTCTTCTACAGCATTTTGTGATATGGAGAAGGAAGGTAGAGTTTCATATTCCAAATGATACTTCGCAATTTGATGGTGTGATTTGTATTGCAGTTTTGTTATGTAAGTTACGATGAAACTGTGCTATCCATTCTGCATTATTTATATAAACTAATATTTTGCTTGGCTGCTTTTTGTTCATACCTACATGCAGTGCAGTTTAGACAGTGGACTTTGAAGGAAATTGGAAAGCTTCATTTTCAACTTTGTTTTGATTAATTGGTCCCAGTAGTCTGCTTGTCGTCATTCATCCATTTTGGCTTGTGTTCTTTGTTCCTAAAATCCCTTCCTGATTTGAGGTAGCCTGAATAACTGCTGTCTAAAGAGGAAGTTAGCAAAACTTATGCTTATTAATAGACCCTCTTGCTAGACTCAGCTAGATGTAGTAAAGCTTAGTGTTGTTTGCCCAACCATAGTGATGATTCTTTTTACTATGAGTCCAGAGGCAAAGCAGGCTTGGTTTTCCAATAGTGCTAATTCTTTTTTCTCATGATTTGATTTCTTAAGCTTGTTGTGCAGCAGTATTGTTAGACTTAAATTTTTTTACGTTTAAATGTTGGGCTCTTTTTCCTTTATTTATGTACTTGTTTTGCATGGATAAATGTAGTGGACTATTCTCAAGCTGCATTATGTCATGTTTTAAAATGTATCTGCTCTTTAGCCAGTTTGAGTTAATCCAGTAACTTCAGATAATCAAAAGATATTTGAGTTTAGAGCAGACCTCTAGGAATTGGCTGCTGCAGGCTGCCTGGAGCTGTGCCTGGATGGATTTTTCACCGTCTCTG